CACGCACCCACCCCAAACTGCCGGTACATCCGCAGGTCAAGGCCTCTGAGACACTCTCTCTCTCTCATACCCAGCTTCAAGCCATGGAAGCCAAACTTGACCCACAGACCTCTGAACTCTGGGGACTCTGATTCCTCCACTAGGCTTTGAGGTTACCAAAGGACCAGAGATCAAAGTACCCTACATCAGGGCCAGAAAGATGAATTATTAAAGTTAATAAAGATCAGCCACTTAAGAACCAACAACCAGGTCATGAGCAGTTTTGCCATCGTCACCGATCCAACGTGGCTGCCTTACAGGGTAGCTTTTCCAGTATGGCTGCCTCAGCATGGTGCTCGGCTCGGCGTGTGGCTCCCGGGGCCACCTCGAGACCTAGTGCCCACCATTCCGTCCGTCATGGCTACCTCGCCAGAGTAGCCTTCCCCATCTGGCCTTTGGTTCCTCTTTAACTCACTGTAGCTGCCACTGCAGGGCCAGCCTGCCTCCCCACTCCCCCTCCCCAGCAGCTAGTCCGAGGGGGCCGCCTCCACGGGGGTCTTGATCCACCTGTGACTTGTAATTGCCATAGCAACATGCTGGCGGCCCTGAAGTAGCCGTTCCAAGATGGCAGCCTCATCAGGGCTGCCTCATCACGGTTGCCATTCCAACCTGGTGTCCCGGTCACCCACCCCCAGGCGACTCACCCCCTACAGGAAGAGGGAGGCAGGGCTACGGATTCAAGAAGGACAGACACGTGCAGGTTGTAGACAAGACTATTATCTTCTCAGTGGTAATTCTGGGAAGGGAAACGGCCTTCAGGGAGGTCCATTAGGACTCAGCAGCCAATAATCTTGACAGGTGAAAGAGAGGGTCTCACTGCGGCACTGTGGGAAGACGAGAAAAGAGTGGTCAAGGAGGGCTGGGCTTCCCGAATGCGGGCGCCCACCCCCAGGCCCCTTTGCCTGCTGGCCTGGCTTGGCCACCAGGGGGAGCATCAAACCAGTGTCACCGTGCCCGTGGTGACTATAGCTCTGAACCCCAACTGGAATGTTCTGATCAGGGATCTCTAAGCAGCTGCTGGTGACAAGTCGTCACGGAAATCATAAAGCAGGGATATTGCCGAGCTGACTCAGTAATTCATAAAGGGGACAGCAAAACATCGGAAACTGGGTCAGTCTGGAAAAGCAGTGTTTCAGAATGACGGCCAGGAAGGTCCTGCAGGGGTGGTGTCGCTGAGCCCTTGTTAAAGGGTCTGCAGCCACTCCTGTCTGCTGGGCTGTCATCAGGGCCAGGGGGAGTCACAGCCGGGGAGGGACCCTGGGAGCCTGTATTGACATCAGCCACATCGGAGGGACTTGGGTAGCAGCCTCTCCAGGGAGCCTTGACTGGCAGATGTTTGATGGGCTGGAGCCCAAGGCAGAGGAGGCAAGGAAGAGCGTTCCAGCCAGGGGGAACAGCATGCGCAAAATCCCAGGAACAAGAGAAAGCACGGCCAGTCCGTCCAACTGCCAAGGGCTTGGTGTGGCTGGAACAGTACTGAGGAAACTAGGGTTATGTGAGGCCAGAGAGGCGCATGGGGGAACAAGTACAGGACCGTGGACGCCAGGCTGAGGGGCTGAGGGGCCGCCGAGGAGGGCCCCGAGCAAGGGGCGGGGCAGGCCAACCCCGGATAGAGCGCCCGCTAGGGCCCTGTGGGAACTGGGCTGGAGGGAGAGATGGGAGGCCGGGAGGCCAGGGAGGAGGCTGAGCAAGAATTCCAGAGGAAGGGGTGAATGGAGCTGGGGCTGTGGGGGTGGGGAGGAGGGGCAGGAGGGACAGAGCTTGGAGAGGAGAGGTGTTTTTCTGGAAACCCACAGCCCCCGGTCCTCCGCCAGTACCCGGGCTGTTTCTGACTCTCGCCCGCACAGCTCCCCACGGAGGCCCGGGCCTCAGGGCCTTGGTGACAGTCTGCTAGCTCCTCCCCACCTCGTTCACTTCTCTGCCCTTCAGCAACTTTGGGAAACCCTCAGACGACTGCCCCGGCTGGGTCAGGTGCTCCCCGCCTCCGCC